TCTCCCAGGTCTCCGCGCCGTCTTGGCCTTCGAACGAAGGCTCTCCACCGGGTGCTACTGTAAAATATCCAAAGACGACCCGAGGTTGTTGAGAGATGTTAGCCTTAGCCCCCGCGAATCCGTGTTCTAGTGTCCCAGCACTTAATAAATTCGTCTCGCGGATTACTGAGGACTTGTGTAATTTGTTTTATTATTAATATCCGAGCACTCCCATGTGACACCCGATGTGATACCTCTAAACTTTAGCCCCTGGATTTAAACACCCCATAGGACATAGAAATGTTGGGGGTAGTTAGTGCTGAATGATATTGGTCCAGGAATATAATGATGTGGCTAACATAGAAGGGGGAGCGAATATGAACGCACCTTGGAACTGCATGAATCAACAGTATTGGAACGATTTGAGGAGAAATTTGTATCAGCAGCTATCGTGGCCCGTAAACGGTCAGATGTGAAGCAGCTAACCCATGGGAGGATGTTATGCTCCAATGAAAGTGCACTCAGGTCAATACTATCCAGGTAAATAACCTATATAAAAAAATGATTTGATATTAATGTGAGCACAAGTAGGCTGGACTTGGATATATATAGGTACAGAAAATAGCAACAATAACTGGAAGCATTGCCGACTTTAGTAGCTTAGCAACGCGCTCATAAGAACTAACAGGAGCGCTGTCATGAATAACTCGGACATTGAGTGAAATTGATGCAGTTCTGCTCGTAATAAAAAGGAAGATAACAAAGTAAATTCAAAGGTGAGTAAGCAATTGCGCAGATCTAAGGGTGTAATTCCAATTTGGACTGTTTGAGGAACTATGTTTAATATAATAGCAAGTGAGTTCGATGCAACCAACCTGAGAAGGGGATCGAATATCCCATCAAAAACAGTCTGGGTTGTAAGTCCGCTAGATTGGGGGTCCTGCGATTAGGAATGCAGACAAAATCGTTAAAATATCAGAAGGGGTGGTTACGAAGTAACTGAAACAATGAAAATGGTAGCGACAAGAATTGAGTGTGTGTGAGTTGAGAGATGATAACGAAGGAATGAATGTGAAAACCTTAAGACGGATTATAGACCGAAAAAAAGTAATCACATACCTTGGGTTTGATAACTAAGTCTGAATCTTGACACCATGGAGCTCGAATCATGCTAGGGTTAGGCTGCGGGTGGCGAAGATGGGAGCGAGCACGCGGCGGAAACCTGCTGCAACGAGAAGTTCATGCTCTTAATCAGTTGCGAATGGAGTGGAAGAACTGATTTTAATTTTTGGATCGAAAGAGCGGAGGCAGCTGGGCTGTGTACTGTGAGGTAAGAACCAATGAACGCGTTGAGAGGGAGAAGACCAGAACAATTGAGGCTGTATTTAGTTCGCGAAATTTAGGAGTTTGGTACTGTAGCATTTTATTTTTATTTAGTAATTAGTATTCAATCATAGATTAATTAGGCTTAAAACGTTTGTCTCACGATTTTCAACTAAACTATATAATTAGTTTTTTTCGTCTACATTTAATGCTCTATACACGTATCGTAAGATTCAATGTGATAACTACTGTACCATTTTTTGAAAATCTTTTTGGAAACTAAACGTGGCTGAACAAAGGCGGATAGGTGGGAGAGCAGCCTGCAGGGCTGCAGCGAAGAATAAATGCCACCTGCCGCGCAATAAATTAGTAGCAGAATATAAATCCACGTGTGCTTCCAGCGTCTGATGCTAATGAGGAAATTAGGCCCCGTTTAGATGCAATCCAAAATCCAAAATTTTTTAAGATTTCTCGTCACATCAAATCTTACGACACTATGGAGCATTAAATATAGGTAAAAAGAATAACTAATTGCACAGTTGCCGGTAATTGACGAGATGAATCTTTTAAGCATAAATAGTCCATAATTAGATAATTTTTGCCAAATACAAACAAAAATGCTACAGTAGCCAGTAGCCAAAAGCTAAAAATTTTCGCATCTAAACAGGGCCTTAGCTACGGCTGGTCCACGTAGGCGACGACAACACGAATCACAACGCAATGTCCAACAAGCCGCGTGAGCGTGGGTACGTGACGCGGGTGTTATCGGAATATTTTCGAGCATCACCTCTCCTATGGATGCTGTATTGGATCTATGTGACGGATTTTTATTACATGAGTTTGTCCAAACATCATTCAAATTAGATGGATCTTAAGAGCTTCGTCAACTTTCGATTAATAACTGTAGCTACAGTTTTGATTTGATGGATTTTTTTTTGGTTGCATGGATTTTTTAATTGAATGACTGGTTGTGTACAAAGGCATGGATCTGATGAGCAACGTCGAACAGATGTTTATTGTTTTGATTTTTTTCTTGATTCTTGTACATGTTTATATTGATGAATTTTATTTGGACATACTACTGTTTCCAAGGGCGGATCTAAGGGGGCCCGGGGGGGGCTCCAGCCCCCCTACAGCTGGTGCATCAATGGAAATATGGGGAGGGTGAGGGAGAAGAAGAGGCGGAGGAAAGAAGAAAAATGGAGAGAGGAAGAAGAAGAGACCAGCCCCCTTTAATCTTGTTCTGCATCCGCCACTGACTATTTCCTCTAATTTTAATCACTGGCTAAGCAATTAATTTTTTAGTATTAATTTGTATAGAATGTTATTCTATAAATTTACTACTAGAATACAAAATTACTACTAGAATATACTCCTTCTGTCCTGTAATATAATGTATTCTAGAAATTTTAAGACAAATTAAGAGAGGACATAAATGACGCATGTACCCTCATTTTATTTCCCAATCAGACGCTATCATCCACGTAATTAATGGTGATTGGTTGATAAATAGAAAGTATTTAATGTAAAATTGATTTTTGTCCTCTAGAATGTATTATATTTGAGGACAAGTTTTGAATGCTAGAATGCACTATATTATAGGACGAATGGAGTATATATATATCTCTGCCAAGACCACCTTATATTTGAATTACAGATGACGAGGGGTGGATCTCCAGCCTTGAAATGTGGCCGACGCTCCCAGGGGGGGGGGGGGGAGCATCCGGCTGCATGGGGAGGCATGCCTAGGGGGCACGACGGAGGACATGGGCGGGGCCACGGGGGAGGAGAGGACGGGGGCGGGGTGAGGCCCCGCTGGAGTTCGGGAACGAAAAGGCAAGGTTAAGTGCGCGCGCCCACCGGTGGCCGTCAACGGTGAACCCTCGACCTAGTGTGCGACGGCGGAGGAGGATGCTGAGGGGGTGACAAGTGGGGCCATAGGGTAGAGAGAGGGAGAAGGAAGACAGTGGAAGGCCGAGCGGGCTGGTGGGAGCATCTGGCTGCATGGGGAGGCAAACCTAGGGGGGCACGATGGAGGACATGGGTCGGCCCACGGAGGAGGAGAGGACGGGGGCGGGGTGAGGCTCCGCTGGTGTTCGGGAGTGAGAGGGCGAGGTTGAAGTGCGCGCGCCCACCGACGGCCATCAACGGTGAACCCTCGACCTAGAGAACATGCGGCGGCAGAGGAGGATGTCGAGGGGCTGACAAGCGGGGCCATAGGGTAGAGAGAGGGAGAGGGAAGAGAGTGGGAGGGCGAGTGCCGGTGGGCTTGTCACAGTGGCTGGGCTGGGAACGGCTACGTGGAAGGGAGAGGTGGAAAGATCGTGGCCCAAGCCGTGAGGGAGAGTGGGAAAGGCAGGGAGGGAGTGAGTGGGCCACAGAGTGGCCTTCGCCCTGGGGAAGGAGGCTGGCAATGGGCTTGGCCCACGGGTGGAGAAGCAAAGGGGAGGTGGAAGCTGGGACACGGGGTGGCTTTGCCCAAAGAGGGAGAGGGAAGCGAGTGGGAGGTTTGGTAGACAGGTGGACTTGTCGCGGGGGCTAGGCCAGAAATGCCCTGTGCGAAAGTGAGAGATGGGGAGGCTGTGTGCATAGAAAAATACTTTCTTTTGATTTTACCGTAGCGTTAGCACGGGTATACTACCAGTGCTCCTAGGGTCACAGTCACACACACGATCATTTGCACTTTCCTCCGTCCTCTCTGCAACCCGTGTGCGATAGATCTTCTGTGTGATGAAAAGACACTTCTTCTGCCTATATCCCAAAAGTACTAAAATAAGGGATTCATAAAACTTTGTCAATAAAACGACAGCAAAAGAGCGGTGGCACAGTTCGAACTTGCTCTGGAATGCTTCAGATGCCGCTTTAGGTCCCAAGCTGTCTTCAAGGTATAAGTGTTTGGTTCTAATAGCAGAGTTACCAAAATTGCGTAAAAGAAATCCTGAGTACACACGGCAACAACTTGCATGTACTTGCTGTAAAAGCTGTCATAGAAATCATATTGTGGGAAGGCACTTGGGCCCGCTGAAGCTATGATGAGAAAAACAGCCCAGACGGGATACAACGAATTCTTGATTTGGGAGGACTGCATTGTACCCAAGGTGTAGATGATGAGAAATTTCATAAGTTTGGGAGACTAGAGTGTATTTTTTGAAGATTGCTAGATCTAAATCTAAGATCATTTTTGCTAAATTTGTAAGTAAAGAAGTCCACTTTTAGTCCATTGCGAGAATCTGAATTGTCGGCCCGTGAACTCACTGTTGGATAAGTACTACTTTTCTAACTAATGGTCAAGCCATTCTTCTTGTATTATTTGTGAAACAAAAGGTACAATGTGGGTAACCAATTCTCTGAAATACATATTGCAAGCACAATGAGGCCCTAGGATGGAAGGGGTCGGAGACACATAGTATCCATCATTTCATTTCATTCATACAACAAACACAGGAAAGGTGAACGCACGAACACTGCCATTTTCGAAAAGTGCACCATCATCATTGTTCATACTTCATACAATAAACATAAGAATGACCAATGTAACATAAGAAAGGCCAACACATGAGCACTTTCATTATATTTTGGAAAAATACTGATGGGAAATCACAAACTCCTAACAAACTTGTGGCAAAAAGGTAAGCCGTGAACGATGTTCCGCCATTGAGTTGAATCTATCATACAGCAGCTATGGGCCAAAGCCTAGATTACCCCCTCCTGATCCTTGTCCCTGTCAGAATGCCAGCATGAGAAAGCAGAGCCCAGATATGGGTGAGGAACTCCCCGCCATTTTCAAGATGTTGCATGTGTTGCATGGTGGTGTAGTGCGAGGCAGCGGCATGGATGATTGTCTCGGCCCAGAAATCTTTCAGCACCTCCCAGCGATGATCCCCATCCGGCAGCCTCTCCAGCTGATTACCGAGCTTCACACCTTTTTGGAACATCGTCTCATTGTCATCTCCTTGTAAATTCTTCATTTTATTATATATCTTAGAAGGTCTAAAGTAGTCGGATCCAAAAAGCTTGTTACGTTCTTCCATCACCTTTTCTACCAACTCTGCTATATCCGCCTCGTGGTACGGAAGCAGTTTTGGGACAGATTGTATCAAGTATGCACAATATCTAGACAAATGAACTGCAACACCTTGGTGACTATCTCGAACAATCCTATTTCTTCTATGGTTTGGCAGTAGTTGTAGCACATATCCAAACAAGTCTGCACAGTATCTAGACAAATTGGTTGCAAAGCCTCGGTGCTTATTGCATCGACATCGAGTAGTCCGATTACTAGTAGGACTAGAAATATCACAATATTCAGTTGCGATGTGCCAAATTAACATGACTTCCACCTGAGAGAGGCCCTCGAGTGCCCAGGAATAGTCTTCAAACATTGGGTTCTGCCATAGTGATGTTTCTCCATGGGTAGTTAGATTGTTGCCATAAATTGATATGAGCGATCTAGCAATAGCTCTCTTCACTGCATCAGAAACCTCTACGGGTTGTGGCTGTTTCCGTCGGAAAATAGAGTCCTGGTCAATCTCATTTCTCAACACCCCAGAAATCATAAACTTTCTGAAAAAACCATTGACTTTTTCAATAACAACTGCATTTGGTTGCCACCAATATTTCTTGACATAAATGCAGGCTAGTGATACCTGGGCCCAATTTGAAGCCAGATAAATGGCTGCCTGCACTATTTCCACTATGAGGGCTATACTAAGAACTACTAGAGTGATGATGTAACCATCTTCTGAAATGGGTACTTCTATGATAGGACTTGGTGTCTCAAGAACCAGTGAGTTTCCGATGGCAAACACTCCAATGATTAAAATTAGAATGATCTTTACTAAAGTCAAAGGTTGAATGAATGGCACCGCAAATAAATTCATCAATGTGAAGGTACAGTAGTACTTTGTGAAGAAGAAGTCATAGCAAAAACCCAACTCTACCTCAATAATTCTGAATGCTCTTTTGAAATCCACTTCAGAAGGCAACAATTTTTTGAAGACAAAATTGTGGTCTTTAAGACGGTTGGTGTCGCGGTAGACTACCCCGAAATAGCGCTGTCCCACGAGCCGCCGAAACAAGGCACAGGATAGGCACAGGTCTTTCAACGCTTTGCCATAAGCTGAGTTGCCACAACAATCCCATATCTGTTCAATGGTAATGAGCTGACTTGGAAGACTACAGACTGCATACTTGTAGCCCTTCATGCTCTGAGGGCCAGAGTCACTCACACGATCATTTGCAGTTTCCTCCGTCCTCGTCTCTGCAACTTGCAAGTCAAGTTTCATCTTATTTTTGAAAAAAAAATACCCCTTCCAGTTGTACCCCAAAATTGCTAAAATCATGCATCCAATGAACTTTGTATAGAAAACGATAATCAAAAGACAGATGACACATCGTGAACTTGTTCTGGCATTCTTCAGACGCCGGTTTAGGTTGAAGGCTGCCTTGAAGGTATAAGGATTTGGACTCAGTAGCAGAATGGTCATAAATATGTAAAAGAAATCCCGAAAATAGTCGCCCATAACCTGCATGTACTTGCTGTAAAAGCTGTCACAGAAATCATATTGCTGTACGGCGGTCGTGCCCACTGAAGCCATGATGAGAAAAGCAGCCCAGACGGGATATGATGAATTCTTGATTGGGGAGGACTGCATGGTGCCCAAGGTGTAGATGATCAGAGGGTTCATAAGTTTGGAAGCCTGGACGGCATAATTGAAGATGGATTTATGCCACCGCCGCATGCAGGAGCCCAAGATGAGCTGGAGAAGCAGCAGCACAGCGGCCGCCACCACCAGAGCTTCCACCTGGATGATGGTCCTCCTTGGGTGGTTCAGCCAAGGGGACAAAGCTGCCATCGCCCTCGTCATGTTTACCACTCCGCCATCTTGCTTGGATCCCCCCGGCTCCATGGAGAGGGGTGTACGTGTGTGTTGCTCTTTAGACTGGGGTGTTTGTCTAATTGTCTTGGAGGTCGGACAGGTTAATATGGTTTGCTGGCTTCCTCCAACTCATACGCTGCTGGCTTCCGGATGGCGAGAGTATCATGCATGTCAGTATGTAGTACCGTGGCCCTGTTCGCTTTTCTTATAATCCGTCTTTTTTAGCTTGTTTTTTTCAATCGGAACAGTGTTTTTCTCTCACAATAAATTAGCCGAAACACACACATATATATAATTTAAATCTGACCAAACATATATAATTCAAATCTGACCACAAGCACAAAAGCATTATATAAACTATCATTACAAGTCCAATTCACAAGAATATATACAATCCATCATTAAATAGACATAATTCACAAGTCTAATTCATTCCACAAGTCCAAACCGTCCCACAAGGTAAGACCAATGTCAAATTCCATACACATTGTAATCAACGGCCTAGAGCTAGCCTTTCAGTCTCACGAAGGTGTTAGTACTGAGGATTTCTACCTAAGTCAGAATCTCGGTCATGGTAGGTGCCTTTGACATGTATAATCTGGTCCAATATGAAGTTGCAAAGGTCGTCGATGAGCTTTAAGAGTTAGTCATCCTTGTATGGGTCTCTTTTCATTTCTTTCTTTTCTTTCCACTACAAGAGAACAAGTTTCGGTTTAGTATTTCATATCATGTGCGAAGTTTTTATACTACGGGTGAAGAGGTTCAAACTTACCCTTAAAGGGTGTCTCCTGTAGGCATCGATGTTACTCATCATAGAACATACATAGTATCCACAATGTACACTCCCAGACTTCTGCTTGGGGCACTGTGCGTTATGCATATGGAAATGTTAAGTAATGCTTTTGACAGCCATGTAATAGAGTACTAAAGTAAGTTACACTTCCCGCACATAGTGTTTTTATAGCCAGTTTTTCCTTCCTTACAGAATCATGCCTTCCGTGATGTTCTTTGACATAGAACCTGAATGCCCTGTTCGAATTATTTTAGCAAATGCAACTTGTTAGTATGCAAAAGTGAACGTTACAGGTATGTATACAAATATATAAGCTAATGAGGATTGTCGATATGTATACGTCTTGAGAATCGATATGAAGTCTTTGTATGTCATTGCGTGACAATCACGGAAAAAGGTAAAGTATACTCTTTTTCTTTTCAAAAAAGAAAAGAATTCATTCATTGCGTGACAGGGATGCTAGAGCTTATGCTTTGGGCCATGGACCAATGTAATTCCTTATTGCAAATATTTAGCCCATGATTAACCCTTGGGTAAATCTAAATTCTTTTGTGTCACAAAGACACAACTTGTGCCTAAATTGAATGAAAATTTGATGAACTTGTGCTCACTCAACATTCCTAAAAAAAGTGATACAATTCAAGAAATATTGTGATAACATTCCTGAATTTAGTGATTAATAAAGAGAAAGGTGTCAAGCGTCTTTGACTTTTCAAAAGGAAGCACATTGCTTGCTTTCCTTTTGCTTTTGTTTGGCACATGGCTTAGGTAGGCAGTAGGTCTACTACTGATTTCAGCAGATGGATCAGATGGAGTGACCAGGGAATAGGGTCTGTGCAAGAGTAGTAGTATTGTTCTTTCGGCTGATTTAGGGGCAGCAGATAGATTAGATGGAGTGACCAGGGCATAGGGTCTGTGTAAGAGTAGTATTGTTGTTTCGTCTGGGGGTTTTCTTGAGAGAGGGGGAGAGAGAGAGAGAGAGTGAGAAAACACATTTGTTTTGTGTGACCTTGATAGGATTTGTATGTGCTGGTATGAATATTTTGTAAACATCTTCAAGTAATGAAGATCAATGTTTGAAATCTTATGTCTCGATAAAAATCATGTTTATTTTCAATTGATAAAATAGCAACGGCTTCTGTTTATTAAAGTATGAGCAGCTTTCCTGTGCTTGATAATTACTTATTCCTCGAGATTGCTCTCAAATATGTCAGTAGCCAGGACATAAGCTTGTTATTTGTTTATCTGCATGAACAATGAGTTTTTCCTCTCTTAATCTTGAAAATCTAGCAAATTAATTCTTGACCTTATCTGAGATAGCAACATTACGTTTTTAATATCCCTTAATCCAAAGATCCATTTGACGCGTTTCTAGTTGTGTTAGTATTTTATCTCGTTCGCTCAAATAAAATTTGAGATCAATCGGAACAACGGTGTAGGATCAACTCAACCTAGCTGATAATTGGCCTTCATTTTTTTTCAAGAAATTCATCAGGTAGTCATGCACTGGAATTGAATATACATATATGCACATTTATCTATTGTCAGTGATGTATACTGAAAAATCGGCAGTCAGTGCCGAGCTCGCAAGTGATTCCAAGGATATTTTAGCCAAATCGGCAGTCAGTGCAGCAGGAATGGAGGAGAAGGCGAGGTTTGGGGGCGCATACCTACAGAAGACCTGGCCAAGCAAGTGATGGCGGCGGCAGCGAGCACGGTGCAGGGATGTCGAGGTCGGAGAAGACCCCCACGTCAGAAGCAGAGGTCGAAGATGGGGAGCATGCACGGACGCCGGCGCACATGGCACCAAGGGATGGCGGCGGTGGTGGCGCAGTGGGCCGGGGCCCTCAAACCCTAGTGTAGGGTGCTGGGAGAGCTCGAGGTCGTAGATCGACGAGCCGACGGCCGGAGCGGGGGAGGTCGGGGTCGGAGATGGGGCGGCGGTGGGCTGGCCGGCCGGGAGGCTCTCAAACCCTAGCCGCGTGGCGGCACGGGGATTGCCGAGGATGGGGCCCGGGGGCACAGAGATGGGGCGGCGGCGTCGGTGCAGCGGCTTCGTGGACTGCGTTAGCTGTGGAGAGGTCAGGGAGGAGGAGGCATTGGCGGCGTCGAAGGAAACTTTGGCAGCCTGCAAGCGACGTAGAGGAAGTATAGCGCCCATATTTAGAAAAATTTCGGCCTCCAGCAGGCTCTAGTTTATATATCGGAGGTCATTTGTAGGGGCGGCTCCTGAGTTAGCCGCCCCTACAAATCGATTTGTAGGGGCGGTGCCTGAGTTAGCCGCCCCTACAAATATTTTTCAATTTATTTTAATTACTAATTCTGTAATTCATTCATATATAAAGAACACAATGTAAATTTATATATTATTTTTTTATTATTCTATATATATAAATATATGTATATATAAACAATTTTATTATATATATAGATATAATTCTATATTTTTTTCTTTACAAAAACAATATTTTAAAAAATTGAAATTTTGAATTTCAAAACAACTAATAGAATTTTAGGACACTAAATGACCTCAAATGAAAATTTTGTAAACATCAAAGTTGTAGAATTCATCAAGATGTATAACTTATATTTTGGTCATCTTTTTCATTTGACTAAATTTGAACAATTCAAATTTTGAATTTTAATAAATGACAACTTCAAACAAGATTTTGAAACCTTAAATGATTTCAACTAGAAAAGTCATGAACATTAAACTTGTTGAACTCATCAGTATCTACAACTTTTATTTTGATCATTTCTTCATTTAACAAAGTGTTTGTGTACATTATTCACAAATCCACATTTCACTCATAGTTTCATAAACTATACGGGAGACATGTTGATTTGTGAACAATGTTTACTATCACTTTGTCAGATGCAGAAATGACCAAAATAAAAGTTGTAGAACTTGATGAGTTATACAACTTTGGTATTCATCACTTTGTAGCAGAAATTATTTGGTGTTTCAAAATCTTGTTAGAACTTGTCATTTTTTAAATTTGAAACTTTGACTTGCTCAAACTTTGTCAAACGAAAAGAATGACCAAATCAACACAGTAACTTGATAGGGCATGATTTTAGAAAATTTTAAAAAAAAATCATCATATTTGGAGTTAGTTTGAGGGAGAAAAACTAGTTACAAATTTTACCCAGAGATTAAAAAGAAAAATCACAACTGTTCTTGATGAGCAATGATGAACAAGTGTGATTTCTCTTTTTAATCTATGGCTGAAACTTATAACTAGTTTTTCTCCCTCATACTAACTCCAAATGTGATAGTTTTATTTCCTAAAAGTTTCTAAAATCATGCTCTATCATTTTAGTGTGGTCATCTATCTTTGTCACTAATTTTGGATAATTCAAATTTTGAATTTCATAAAATGACAATATCAAACCTGATTTTCCACCACTAAATGATTTCAGCTGTAAAGGTGATGAATATAAAAGTTGTATAACTCGTTAAGATCTCCAAATTTTACTTTGGTCATTTCTTCATTTCATAAAGTGTTAAGTGCTTGATTTAAGTGTTTGAATAGTAGTCCGAACATGTTGCTGTAGTAATAAGTGCCTGTTTCAAGTGTCTGCATGTTACAGCTATTTTAGTAGTAATAGAGTGGATGTTGCAATAGGTTCATCTGGATATTGCAAAGGGTAGTCTCACACACATGCATAAATATAGTCTCACACACATACATAAATATATAGTCTCACACACATACATAAATATATAGTCTCACACACATACATAAATATATAGTCTCACACTGCCGGGGACCTAATACCGGAGTACCCAATGAGGTGGAACTAATAACCATCGAACGTTGATGCTTCCGGTCAGACAAGAGCACTACTGCGCTTCTTGCCCGAATGACGGAAGATTGGTTCCACCACACCCGACCACCGAGGACTAGACTCCGCCACGCCCAATGGCTATGGGCTGGCTCCACCTTGTCCGACGTCCTAGGGCGGCCTCCACCTCGCCCGACCCCCGAGGGCTAGGCTCCATCTCGCCCGATGGCTAAGGGCGGGCTCTGCCCCGCCCGATGTCCGAGGGCTAGGCTCCGCCTCTCCCGATGGCTAAGGGTGGGCTCTACCTCGCCCAACATTCGAGGGCTAGGCTCCGTCTCGCCCGATGGCTAAGGGAGGCTCCTTCTCGCCCGACGTCCGAGGGCTAGGCTCCGCCTCGCCCGATGGCTAAAGATGGGCTCCGCCTCGCCCGACGTCCGGTGGCGGGCTC